TTAGCATTTTATTAGTTTTTGCTGGTGGATGGAAAAAAAACTTGTTAATGTGTGTCAGCACAAAAAGAAAATTAATTTATTGTTTTGAAGATCAATCATGATCTATGACAACAGTGATTATTAATTTTTAACTTTCTTAACCTTTTATGTTAATATCAAGCCGTAGAAATTGATTTCTTAATCTGCAAAAAGAAAATCTATATGTTACTAAACAAAAATAGAAATGTGAAGTGATAGAAATTGATGCGCAGTGTGATACACATGGGCTTCCTTCAGTAATCACTGCACACATCGATTCACATTTTTCAATCTTTCAACACACTGAATTTTTCGCAGAATAATAAATAAACTTATACGGTTGCTTCGAATTATGGTATGAAAAGCAATTTTGAAAGTTAATAATCACATCACAATCTTTCAAAAAAGTATGGTGAAAACAACACACAAACACGCACTAGCAGCAAAGGCGGAAACTAATGGTGAAAAGCCTTTTCGCGGGTCAAGAGTCCGAAGTGTAAGCATTGTTTTCCGTCGAGTTTTCTTTTATGGCAGACGTTCTGCATCTGTTTCGTATATAGGAAAGACCACCGAAGTAAGCTCTTTTAGATACGGAGATAGATGTTAATAAATGATACCTGTTTAAGGATATACTTCTCTTTTTTAAATTGTAGAAAACAACATTCTCTACCGAATGAGAATTTTTACCATCTGTAAGATCTTTACAGAAAGATCCGTTTTCCTACCGTTTTTAGTACCTATGTACAGAAAGCAAAATATGGGTGCGAAATGTAGCAGCACGTTACGGCCCGCTCGAAATTTACCATAAATCTGTGGCTATAATTTCAGCTTGATCCGACAAAGTTTCGAGTGGGTCGTAATGTGTTTCCATTCCATTCCTGGAAAACTGAGTTTTTAGAAAACTCATCCGAATACAAAAAAAAAATTGCAGAAGCATCTAGTCATATTATTCAGATCAACTTGTAGGAAAAACTATAGATCTTTGAGACTTCTATCAACAAAAAGCCGAAGTAAGATGCACGTAATGCAAAAATCGAGTGAAATTTATTTTTGGCTCTTATTATACAGCATTCGAAAGAGGACGTCGAACTGAGTAAGAAAAACTAGTTTTTAACTTTTCAGTGTACACGTTTTTCGGAAAAAAGCTTAAAAAGCTTTCACAGTCGAAAATTCCGAAAATCCTCTAATTTTCAGCAAAACTCGAATAATTAGCTTCAATCCTATTTCTGACGTGAGCCTCAAAATTCTTTTTTCCTTCAGCAGAAAATAATCTTTTACTGAAAAATAGGTGATTTTGGCTAAAATCGGCAGCTCATCTGCGAATAAATTATTTGGTTTTTATCGGATGTCAATAAAATTCTGGTGTTATGGATAGTTTTTGATGCTGACTCCGATCGAAAAACTTTCAGGCGTTTTAGAGAACAACTAGAGGGTTTTCTAGAAACCTTTTCAAAAATCACTTTTTTTGAAAACCACGCTAATCGATAGAGAATTGAATTCTGAACAGAATGTGACCAAGCGGGCTGTTCATCGACTTTCCTGAACTAGAATATCCCTCAAAAACTAAAAGACGGATAGTTGTAAGCTCAAAATTCAGATTCTTAACACAAAAAACTAGATAGATTTGCAAAACGAGATGCGAGCACTTTTAGCATCTGGTGCCCTTGGGACGTCCGAATTCTGAGAAACAGTTTTTTATATGAAGTCTTCGCGCTGATTCAGAAAAACATAATTTTGAGGCTCACGTCAGTAATAGGATTGAAGCTAATTATTCAAGTTTTGCTGAAAATTAGAGGATTTTCGGAATTTTCGACTGTGAAAGCTTTTTAAACTTTTTTCCGAAAAACGTGTACACTGAAAAGTTAAAAACTAGTTTTTCTTACTCAGCTCGACGTCCTCTTTCGAATGCTGTATAATAAGAGCCAGAAATAAATTTCACTTGATTTTCACTCGATTTTTGCATTATGTGCATTTTACTCAGGAAAGAAAAGGAAGGAGCTCTTAATGCGTAACGAGGCTTTATTTTTGTTAGACGTACTTTACGCTCTCTCTGAATAGTTCGAAAGCGGATCTCGGAATCAGATCCCATTGGAACTAAAAGATTTATCGACTGGCAGAGATTATCAGCATATGTCAAATAAACGACGCAAGGTAAGTAAGAACCGTGGACGAATCTGTTTATCGCTTATTACAGGTGAGAATGTCATACTTTCAGCAGCCGAAGAAATTAAGGTCAAATCGTTCCTTAGCATCGCTTACCGATCTGTCTTGTTGGCAGACTGATGAGAATAAAGAAAAAGAGTATGTAGAGGGATCGGGTCCAGAACACCTACGACAAGGATTTAGACAGAGGTAAGTTGAGTGTAAAGTGTATGGTAGTTGCTTAACATCAAAAACCGAAACTTCCCCTTCTCTTCTAGCTGTTCCCCTTTATGCTGTGTATTGTCTCCTCTATTGTGCATTCTACTACTTGGTGGTCTTCTGGCAGGTGTGTGGGAAGTGTCACAACTATTAGGGACAAAGAAAAAAAGTATGTAATGGTGTGAGAGATAGATCTAACTTAAAGCGATATGTTTGAGGGACTTGGGAAGGCTGTGGCGTGAAGTACTTCGTAATCAATTTTTAAGTGTCGGACTCTCTTCTTCTATACGTCAAGATTCTCCATTAGTAAAATTTTCACCGTTAAGTTCGTCTACCTGACGGAGTTATGATACAGCAAAACATGGGTCATACATAACGATCTTTTGACCATAGTACAAAGATTGACTCATAAGTGCATCGATAAGAGCTAATCAACTTAAGCTTGCGACGCGAAGCACAAACGCATTCGAGAAGCAAACTTCGTCTTTTATTTCCGGATCAAAAAAGATGTCATTATCATTACCGACTTTTAGTGTCATCGGCAATCTTTTCTAATTTTTTTCGACTGCAAGTATTGTGCAGATCATAATTTAGCCATATCCTTTATGATCCCAATCCTCACGCACGGGGATTATCAAAGCTTTTTTTTCTCTTCAAAATATCCAGTGTGACACGTCATTCGATGTATAACTGCGCACTAGTCTAATTCCCATGTCTTCTTCCAGGCGATACAACTTCTACTACTACTACAACAGCAATCATCAGTAACACTACAAGTAAGTGATGAAAATGTGTGGCTGACAAAGAGGAACACAATGCACTTCACTACTTCTAGCGACAACATCGACGACTGTTACGACGAGTAAGTGATGAAACTGTGTGCCCGAAGTAGAAATACAATGCGCTACACTACTTTTAGTGACAACATCGACGACTGTTACGACGAGTAAGTGATGAAGCTGTGTATCTGAAGTAGAGCAACACAACCACATTCTCCTTTTCTAGGCACAACAACAAGCACTACTACTAGTAAGGTATACTTTTTAATTTTCAAGTTGCATGAGTCGACACTGTGCGAAAGAGAGTGAAAGTTAGATGAGTTTTTCGCTATTCCCATTCCGTTGGATCCTAGCTCATCCCATCTTGTGGGGTATTTTTAAAAATCCTTGCACTTCTTACCGTAAAACACATTTTGAAATGTGGTTTTTTGCTCTGTTCTCGGGACCGGTGCGTTTCACAAAAAATGGTTTTTTATGTGCGGACTCCGCGTTTGTTTTTTTAGCGAAACGCAGCTCGCTCCTGTTCTCATCATAAAACCAGTTTATTTCATTTTTAATTTTAATCCAAACTCAGCTGTTGCGCTAAGAAAAGTACTACTTTTTTCAAACAGTTTTGAATCATTTCGTTTCTTCCCTTGAGACCTCAAAGAAAAAACTTTCGTTCTGTCCCATCAGCACCTCTGGAAAGAGGATCATAGCCTAGTCAGTTTCTCCGCTGCCTCTTCTAATTGCAGTTGTTAATCTGAACTTTAGCCTCTTGTGGAAGCTGTTATGATTGGACTGCTCTGTCTTCGTGCTGTGCTACATGTCAGGACGTAATAAACGTTTATAATGGACACGGATGGGCTTACGATATTTCCCTGTACAGTCAGTGTGACAACGTCAGTCAGTGTAAGTAGAAGTATAACACTGCCCGTACTACAACAAAACTTTTTCTTGTATTTTCTCGTTGAAAAACAGCTGGTGGTAACTACTACTGTGCAGCTCCAAAAGCGTCATGCGTGAATGGTGATGAGATCAACGACTTCGTACTAACCGGAGTGAGTAGTACGGCGATCAATGATGTAAATACATATTGCATTAGCGTCGTTGCAACAACAGCTTATGATAATCGTACCGGTGAAAGTGTAACGTTGCATGCTAACAGTACTTACACTGTAACAGTTTCAAATAACCATGCATTATATACGAACCAACTGTCGATCTGGATAGATTTCAATCAAAATTATCGTTTTGAATCGCTAACAACAGAAAAAGTTGTAGATAATATGGCTCTTAATGGTACCGCTGATTATCAATTTACGTTTACAGTACCAAGTACAGCACAGGCTGGCAGCTACAGAATGCGAGCAGTTGTTCTACACAACAATAATATACCGTGTGACGACGGACACAGTTACTTTGGAGAAACACATGATTACACGGTAGTAATTCAGTGATGATTTCGAAACTTAGGATGGTCTCCGATATTCTCTTGGCGACTAGAGGCGGAACCGATTTTCTAGCGTTCGAAAGCAGACTGTTTGGAACGTTTACTTTTATGAATTAACAGTTCTTTTCTACAGAGTTTTTCACGCTAGAACACTATTTTTGCCAAAGAAAATACACACACTTTTCTCGTCATAACAGACACTTTTATTCTTGTATTCATCTTTCACACCCACCCTCTCAGTTGTTATTGTCAGAAGAGAAAAGATATTATCTTTTGAGTAGAATATATATACTCTTTTTGTCGGCTCTTTTTTCCCTTACCTTGTCAACATCAAAGTGGGTATTTTATTCACATAACAAAAACAAAAGGGAGAAAAAGACGAGATGGCTTTCTTGACTTTGCAGAGATCTATGAATGTGAAACATTTGTTGACTAATTTCATAACCGACACTGTAATAAATGATGCTTATATGGAACAGAAAGTAAACTGTGTAAAGCAATCTCTAAACATCAATCAACGACATCGACCAATATCACTCTATGATTATCAGCCTTCATCGACGACCACTTGTGTCGATTATTATAGTCCTTTATTAATTACTGGCAGTTTTGCTGAAGGCTTGAGTGTACCACCAATGTTCGGCACTAAATGTAGAATGGATATATCTGATTTTGATATCATTCGTGTCATACCACTTTTAACATGTGATTTAAAACCTTCATGTGATAAAACAACGTTTCTTGTAGATACACGGTACACACACAGTGGTTATTGTCATTTGATCTTTGATTTAAACGCCACCAACATTGAAGACGTAAAAACCGTCGAATCAATGACAGATCAAACTTTACGATCATATCCATTTGCAAATGGTGCAATTATCTACTGCCTTCCATCTTCACCGTTACCTCAATCATGGTTATCAGTGATTGACTGTCCGACCGCGGAAAGACATGGACCAGCACAGCAAATTAATTTACAATTTATAACATCAGGACTGAAAGCGATATATTCACACGATTCTGTTATTGCTTTACATTGTCTCTCGTGGCCGATTCAAGAATGGATTGAACGCCAGCGTTCAAA